AGGTAGTGAAGACAGTCGAGGAACTGAAGAAAGTATGGGTTTACATGCAAAAAACGGTTGATTCACAGGTTGTGCAGAATCTTATGGCCGGGGTTAAGGCCAAGGTGCGGGCATTTGCGTATGGACTGTAAATAAAATACGAGTAAAATGGTAAAATGAAGTTTAATACTTATTTCTCAATCCCTGAAAATTTGATGGCAATCGGATGAAAACTCGAATTTTGCGAATCAATTTTGTGTGTGGCAATTTCATCGTGGACACCCTTTATTTGGCAGGCTCAAATGTTATAAAAATAACTTAGCGGAGCCGAGTAACATAGAATACCAATTTTGGTACTCAAAATACAAAAAAAAAAAAAAATATATATATATACAAACATATTTTATCATATGATTTTTCTTGGTGGCGATCGAAGCGGCAACAAAGCGGTCTTCTCCCGTGCACGCAACTTCTTTCTTTCCCGAATTTGTTCCTCATTTTCATTGAACCCGAATCGTGATCGCTGCTGCTGCTTCTGAACATCGTTTCCCGTTGCATGCTCTCCGCTACTCTCGTCGGTCGTCGGGGTCGTCACGTCCATTTCGTTTTCTTCATTCAACATCTCCAACCCCGTGTCCGTTTCCTGATCGCTAATGACAAACGACGCACCTTCCACCACTACACCAGCATACGTACTGCTGCTGTTTTGTTTTCTTTCACTTTGCTTTCCTTTTTCCTTCAGTTGCTTCTCCGGTTCCTTCCGAGCCTTCCGCTTGGGACAGGAAAGCTTCCGGTGTCCGTCCGCCTTGCACAGAAAACATTTATCTTTGTTGCCATCATAAAAAATATTTCCTTTGCGATTGAAGAAATGCAATGACGTGGGGATTTCCTTTTTCACATCCATATATATACCGCGTATCCCTGTATATACCTCAAAACACAGATCAGTTGGAAATTTCTCCCGGATGATGCGTTTAATTTTCCCATATTTCCCCAGCACTTTATCCAGCTCGTTGTCGGGTACCTCTGGTGGCAAGTCATACACACGCACATATTGAATGAATTCACCAGCATGCGACATGCGTACCTTTGCCGTCGTTCCATTCGCATAGTGGAAGATTAAATCCTCCGAATTGAATGTCAGAGCATGGAGCATCGCTTCCTCTGATTTGAACTTCATGAAGACTCCCCTTTCCTCACCAATGCGATAAACAGCTTCCATTTCAGCCGGATCCGCGTCGAGTGCTTTGGCGAAATTTACTATCTCTCCGATGTTTGGTTTAGCATCACAATGGCTGAAGCTAAACTTGATGGTGTTTTTTACTTCACACATCTTGCCCTTACGCCCGGTTAATATTGGAGTTCCTCAAGGAAGTAACATAGGTTCTTTGCTGTTTTATCATTATTTTATATATCAACGATTTGGGAAATTTAAAACTTCTTGAAACACCAAGACTTTTTGCAGACGACACGGCTTTATTCTGTCCTCGTTCTTGTATACAATCCATTGTTAATGACATCGAATCAGATCTGGTGAGTCTTATAGAATATTTTAACGGCAATCGTCTTTCTCTGAATCTGACGAAAACAAAGTACATGGTTTTCCACTCGTCACGGAAACAAATCTCGCAATACCCCGATCCATGTGTCGGAAATTTGTGCATTGAAAAAGTTGAATCGTTTAAATACTTAGGGTTGCACTTAGATTCTTGTCTTTTATGGGACACTCACTTAAAGCATGTATCTAGCTAAGTTTCATCTTTATGTGGCCTCATGAAAAGAGTACGCTGTTTTGTGCCCAATGAATCATTGCTGTGATTTTATTACGCGTGTATTCATTCCATACTTCAATACCTAATCAGCGTTTGGGGTCATGCTGCTAAATCAAAGCTTAAAAAATTCAAACGTTGCATAATAGATGTGAGAAAGTTATCTTTAATTTACCTCCCTTATTCTCAACAGTTTTGCTTTATACTAGTTCATGCCACAGAATTATCCCCATTCTAGGTTTGCGCGATTCTCAAACAATTTTGTATGTGCACAAAACGTTACATAACCGTAATTTCCATCACAACATTGTTTTTTCGACTAGAGTTAACATTCAAAGAACTAGACATGCAAATGAGTTACTGAGAAGCAGAGCATGCACGAACTTGGGTCTACGTCGCATCACAAACTGCGGTCCATTAAAGTTCAATATACTTCCCATCGACTTGAAAGCAATAATGAACAAATTTCTCTTTAAAAGCAAGCTGAAGTAGTATGTAATTATGAACGTAAATGAATATATTCTCTAAAAGTGTCTACCATTTGCATATGTGGGTTTTTTCTGGCTCCTGCTATTTTTTTCCTGCATCATTAATTATAGTATAGTTTAATAAGTTCATTTTGTTATGTTAAGCCACAAAGGTTATCACTCTTTAAATTATTTAGAATTTTCTGTTGAGTAAGTGAATCCCTTCAAAGGAACTATGTTCCATCGGGATTTACATTGTTTTTAATTGTAGTTTTTTCTCCGCGTTTTCTTTGTTTTTTTTAGTAAGTGTCCATTACCAGGGGGCTCTCTGTGCGAACTCCTCGGTGTGGGGGTTAGTGGAGGGTAATACTGTCAAATACCCCACAATATGGGTATATTTGGAATCGTGGTGATGTATAAAGAAAATAGAAAAATACTGCTAAATAATCCACAATATGTGTATCTTTGGAATCGGAGTGATTTGTAGGGACCAGAAATCCATGTTTGACGCCATTTTGAAATCCTGTGAAATCCGGGTGTCAAATACCTCACAATATGATAATTTGTGTAATCGCAGTGACGTGCTATAACCATAAAACCCTGTATGAAATCATGGCGCCTTCTGGTTACAGACAAACATTTAAATACTGCCAAATGACATTGATTTCAAGTCCATACAGGTCAGCCCGATTCCAAAAAAACCCATATTGTGGGGAATTTCCAAGCTTTTCTCTAACCGGAAGTGGCCATCTTGTATTTCAAAATGGCTTCAAACATCGATTTCTGGTATCTACACGTCACGCCGATTTCAAAAAATACCCATGTTGTGGGGTATTTATCAAAATTTTCAAGCATTTGTAAAACCGGAAGCCACCATATCGGATTTAAAAATGGCGTCATATATCGTTTCCGGTCCCTGCACACAACTCAGATTCCAAAAATTGTTGGGTATTTGACAGTATTTCCCAGTTTTTCTTAAACCTGAAGCCTGTGGGGTATCTCACAGTATTTCCCAGAGTATGAGTGTATTCAATCTAACCCACACTGGCCGGCAATGCTATTATGGAAGAAAGCCATTTGCAATTTCCCGTTTGCGGTAATTGCAGACAGTTTTAGTCCGGAAGTTGGAAGGTGATAGCTTTATTGCAGATCCAGCAACGGGCTGCTCATAAACTACGTAGACAGTTTAGGGGGGGTGGGGGGTGGAGGTTGACAATTATCCACGACCCATACAATTTTCAAAATTTTTGTATGGACAATTGTCTACGCAGGGGGAGGGGGGGAGGTCAAGAATAAAAAAAAAACTGTATTCGTAGTTTATGAACAGCCCCCAACCTATTTCAGAATGTCTGGAGAGTCAGCCAAAGGTTTTTTTCTTCCTCTGTTCGGGACCTAACACCACTGTGACCAGTAATTTGATCTATTGTAGTATATCCCGTGTCCTTAATTTAGTGCCTGTCGTATTAATCCATCACCATTGAGAAATGATGAAGTATTCGATTTTTTATATAACGCAAGGGAATTATGTGCGCCACAAGTGACGGTTCTACCAACTAAATTGACAGTTAAAAGCGATTTTGATGGACATTTTAAGAGTGTAATGTCTGCTTGTCTGTGATCATACCTTCACTATCGCAACTTTGGGTAATCCGTACTTATATTTTTCTCAGGCACTTTTGATCTAACTGCAATCACTCTCTCATACTCGAAATGTGCCACGACCAAATTGGCACAACGGCGCCCTATACGCGCTCTCTGACCAAAGCGCAGGGTGTCATGTTGATATTTAATTTGGTTTTAAATTACCAGCTGTTAAAGTTTCAGAGGGGCCTCTTATCGACGCCGGTGGTGTAGTGATAAGCGTGACTGCTTCTCACCCCAGTGTGTTCGGGTTAAATCCCAGTCGAGGTCGGTGGGATTTTCCTGAGGCATAGCAATCTCTGGTCACGTCTACCTTCGGAAGGGAAGTAAAGCCGTTGGTCTCGGCCCTTGTGGTTGATGGGTGCGATATCTACGCAGGTGTGGTTTCGATAGCCGTCAATCGATGACAATCGATGTTCATCGGTGATTGGCACTCGATTGCTGAACAGAGACTGATGTTAAATAAAGGAATTATTATTATTATTTATTTATTTTTTTTATTATAGTCACTTTAACGCTCTTGGGTCATTCGTGACTTGTCCGGGGGTGAGATTTGAACTCGTGACTTTGGCGTGAGAAGTATGGATGCTAACCACTACACCGGGTTCGCCCCCCAATAAAGGAATTAACTAGAATAATAACAGGGGCGTTTCAGCTAGTCTCGTCATTAAAGGCACGGTACTAATGCCGCAGACGGGCGGGTTCAATTTCAGGCCGGTCGAGGAAATTTTCTCGACTTCCCTGGACATAGAGTATCATTGTTCTTGCCACACAATATGCAAATTCATGCATTGGTGCTGGAAGTGCATCTAGAACAGGGTTGTTAATCGAACCCGGCGATAACGTCTGCATCGCAAATTCATCAGAGCACTCGTTACCGCTGACGTTATCTAACTATCGATTAACAACCCTGAACAAGAAGAATAAGCTGAAAGCTGAATAAGAAGAAGAAAAATAACGAGAAGAAGAAGATATCGATGAAGAATAATTCATGAATCTTAGAATAAGACGAATTGAACACGAAATGAATGTCAGATCTAGTAAACAACAATATCTCATCATGTGCCCCATGAACAATGAAAATGAAAACACTGCTTATTATGCATGGAATTAAATTACGTTATTTTTCTTCTCGCATTCGCAGTGGTTCTACTATTTTGCCATCGTGGAGGACCTGATCCTGCGGTTCGGTTGGACACTGTCAATGAGCCTCATCGAGATGGGCTACGTTGACCGGGAGATAATCGTGTCAATTCTCAGCCCGCTGGAGGTTTTCCGGCGGTTTATCTGGAACTATTTCCGGTTGGAGAACGAGCATTTAAACAACTGCGGTAATTTCCGTGCCGTGCGCGATATTTCCGTTGCTCCGATGGATTGTTCAGACCAGGTGAGTGTTGCGGGTTTGAGCTTCCGTGTGAAGGCGTGCAATCAAGATAATTCTGGGATGTTCCATGTCTCGTTAGACAATATACGTAGTATATAGTAAACTGAAATTAGATTCTGTTGGTGATTGCGATTTTGTTCAGAACATTGTGAATTTCATAAAATCTCGATTCGACATGGAATGCTCTTAATTCAAAATCCGGAGGCGTGCAATCAAGATATGTATATTCATTGAGTAACATAATCTCATTCACTTTCAGACAACGATTTTGCGTATGATGGATGAAGAGGATGGTGTACGGAACCCGCGAACGGTGAAGAAAATGAACGCCAAGAAGAAAACCGAGCAGCGGCTGCTCCTACGAGAGGCAGAATCAACGGAGGATTTGGAAATGTAAAGACATAGTCTTCAGTTTTATGATAAAGGCAAACACGTAGTATTCTACATATCTGACGTAGGCGTGCTGCCGTTCTTACTCATCATTCTCTACGCTACGCATCATGCCAACTTTCGAGTTCGTGTCACGCAAAGTTGTACGACTCGTGACGGGACTAGAAATGCATTTTCCATCGTCTCTTACTTAAGAGACCAGATTTAGTCAACCTTCACATCTCTGCTAGCACTATCGTGTAGCGATTTAGCATCATCGGTGTCATCCGAAGATAGCAGTTTAGAGATAAGTGCTATAATTGCCCTTCCCATTTTCCTTGTCTTTTCCACAGGAATTCGAATCAAAACAGGAAGGTCCAGTGGGAAATATAGGCCATGGACAATCACACAATTGGGAACAACCTGCTATAAATCCAAACCGAATCAAACCAAACCAAGCCCGATCCTCTGACCTAGATTTCCCCCTGAGCGAGAATCACGTTCGAAACCCACAAATCCTGATGAACACTGCACTGAACCACCACCCTCCCACCACCACCGTTGTTGTTGTCGTAGTCGTTTCATCACGTAATGGATAATTGGAAAATATACGTTTATCGAAATTGTTGTTGGACCAGTTGCGAAACCAAATATCCCCGATAGAGTGATGTATTTATTTACAGCGAAGTAAATAAGCTATAGGAGAATTTTCAACGCCTAGCCTGAGATGGATAATATTTTTAGTTTGGTAAAAGAGTATGAAAGTTAAAAGAAAACAAAAATATGGAAACTGATAGAATAAATAAAATATGAATGATTTATTTTATAAACGCTGCACACGCTGTTTTCATTACAGTTTAACGAAATTCCATAAATTGAACGGGATCATTTGCTTTTTGCTTCAATTAATCAAGCATGATTTCTTCCATCGAGCACCAGCTGAAAAAGTGGGTTATTTGCAATGTTTCATGATTTTCAATGTTGCAATCAACAACATCCTAGATGAGTGGAATTGAAATTATATCCGAGTGGGTTCTTTGACATTTGAGTTAAAAATTTCAAAAGTTTTTGTGTTGTTGTAGGTTACAGTTTATAATTATAGTTAGTTGAAGACTTTATTTTAAGAGATATTAATTGAGGCATTTAATATCTGGACACACTGTTTATTTTACAGCAGTGCTCCTAGCGGTTGGATCTGAAATTCTTTGACAGTAGCTTGATTTGAAATGTTTTTTCTTTCACTGCTGAAAAGTTCGTCACGATTCATTTTGTTTAACCGAAAATTAACTTGGACCCACTTGGAAAATCCGACGTGGTAAGGTTCAAAAATCGCAAAGTCGTTGAAATTGGCTAAATCGACCGTGTACAGTGATCTCAAACGTTTCCGAGAGCGGCATACTATCGATCGGCAGGATCATAGCAAGCGTCGTAGTGGAACAATGGATCGGTAGCTGCATTTGAAGGTGTTGAGGTTAGGGCAAACCCAGGGCTGTCGGATTATGATATCGTCAATTAATTCAATGTCAGCCAAAGCACCGTCACAAGGATTCGTCAGCGAGAAGGATTTCGATCTTTTCGGGCCAGTAAGCAACCAAACAGGACACTGAAGCAGAATCTAGTGACCATAATACGTGCCCGGAAATTGTACAATGAGGTTCTTACAAAGTACGAAGGATGGCATCCTAATGGACGACAAAACGGGATTATGGATTATAGACAGCTTTCCGGGCTGGTCGAGGTGACGTCCCTAGCAAGTTCAAATTCGTTTTTGCCGATAAATTTGCAAGAAATCTTATGATCTGGCAAGGGTAGCTGCGGACAAAAAACCCAGGTTTTCGTGACAAACAAGACTATGGATTCCAACATGTACAAGCAGGAGTGCCTGAAAAAAAAACGTATTCTTCCGTACATTAAGGCTCACAATGGAACTGTAAAGTTTTGGCCTGATTTGGTAAGCTGCCACTACAGTGGAGAAGTTCTACAGTTGTATCGAGACAACGGGGTGGATTTCTTCGAAAAGGACATCAATCCACCCAACTGCCCTGAATTCCGTCCAATTGAGAAATATTGGGCAATTGTCAAACAGAAGTTGAAGAATAGTGGAAAGTTGACGCGGGATGTGACAGAGTAGAAGAGATGGTGGCACAAAACGGCCGCTTAAACGGCCAACAAAGTGTCCAAAATATGATGAGTGGTATTCGAAGAAAAGTTCGAGATTTCATCAAAACCAAATCGGAATATTATTTTCGATATTTTTCTTTAAAGTGTAATAAATGATCTTCACTTCGAGTACTCACCATTTTTTAATTAATTAAGATGGTTCTGAGATACATCCGTTTTTTTTGCGTTCAGATATTAAATGACTTAAGCTTTAGGCTTATCCGAAACATTCAGAGAGGTTTTTAAAACTACAGGTAACTTCCGAGAACTACAGATAAGTTCAGAATTTTGAAGTCTTTATGGGTGTATTTCAAGTAGTGGTCACTTTACGCACTTATTTTGCGCCAATATTTTTCTCAGTGTGCCTCAAGTGTGCCGCGCTATACCAAGATTACCATGTCAACGAACTGATTTTTTGTGTGAGTAATTGTATGTTTGGCAACCCGGTGGTGATTCGGTGGTCGACGTTGCCGTGAATCAGCGAGTTTACGGCTTACAAAAGTGATCGTCTGCTGGTCAGTGTAATGCCGCGGATACACTTATATGGCAGACTTTAAACATGAGCATTATTTATATAATAAATTATGAACACATCCCTGGTTTGGTTCTGATTACGGCGTTGGTTGCGAGTTGATTCGGCTGGTGAGGATCTGGCGTCGCGAGTGATTGGTGATGGAAAGTGGTTGCAGTCCTTTTTTTCTCTGCTGCGATCCTCTTGAGTGTATTTCGTGGTTGATGGGGTTTGCTCTGCTGTGTGAGAACCGAAAGGCGAGAGTGCTGTTTTTAACACCGGTTGAAGAAGTAGCGGCAGCATATCTATTGGAGCTCTTCGAAATCATCGTGATGTCATGGATTCCTTTGCAACATATCGGGTGAGATCTTTCCTTTATTTTTCTCGTAATCCCATTTTATTGTTAGTCATGTTAGTTATACATCACACTCTACACTTTACATTTACATCCTTACATTATTAGTAATTTGAGATAAAAATATATATTTGCTTAATATAACCTTGAAATTTCAGTGTTACATCCACTTGATATTGTGAGCTGAGGAAACATAGAGCTGCATCTTATTATATGTAAAATAATTATTATTTCCATTGCAGAATATCAACTATATTATCCATATAAATGTATTTCATTGTGTCATATTTTAATGTTCTGATATATTTCATTTCCCCATTGCATATATTTTCATTATATAAATAAATACTGGGTTGGGAGGGAGCATCAGGGTATCATTTGACCTGGAACTGGACGATTGGAGTGGTATGACAACCGGAGTCTAGGAGGGAATAAACACTATCATTTTCTTTATCCTACCGATTCGATTGTGGTGGTGTGAATTCTACTTCAACAGTTTCAGTGAGATTGCCGCGCCCTTCTTTACAAACCAGCCTGTAGGAAGCTTAATAAGTATTGCGAATTGTGTTATTCGATTTGTTGGATCGTATTGTTGGAAGGAGATTCTTAAATTACCGTGGATTTCGTGTAAGTGTTTCTGCTTACGGGTTCGCACCTCCGTTTTTGGCCCTTCATACAGCGATATTCTGAATTCAGATCGGTAGCTCAAATTGATCTTGCTATTAAGTGGAGCAGCATACAAGACAAGATCTTTGAAGGGATGGTGGCTACCTTACATACATACATAATTGTATGTTTGGCAACCCGGTATTTTGACAATTCAAATGTTTTTTTTGTATATCAAACCGTACGAGCTGTCGAAGACAATGGTCCCGTCAACGCCAGATCAACCGAATGGGCAGCCCATCAAGAATACTTCTGCTGCGCAGCACTCTGATCGGTCCAGTTCCATCTCCCGTATGTCGCAGTGTGATGAAGATTTGATCCACGGAGAGTACAACAAACATTACACGCTGGTGTTCCCGACAACAACTCAGCAGCACGAGACTCTGCGAACTGTGTCTCAGAGTCGGTGAACTATCGGGAAAACTGGAAGGACTACTTGAGGGTATGACGGATTGTGGAGCTGGTCCCGATGCACAGGCTTCCTTCAGACTAAGCTGATAGACGACGGCAAGGCCGCGCTCCTTCGAACCGCGAAGGGAATCTCTCCTTAACGATTAGGGCCGTCTGCCCGTGAGTGGTGTCCTCCTTCACTTTTGAGTAAACGACGTTCTAACGACTGATTCAAATCCACTCAGCGATATTTTCAGTTGCGGAGGGGTTTTTGTTTTATTTTTGACGTAGGACTACGTCTTTGATTTCTATATGGGGGTACACTTTGTGAAAACCGAAAATGGTACATGTAACAAATTAAGAAAGATTTTGAACGTTAATAACTCAGCTGCCCCTGGTCCAATTTCAATAATTTTATCACCAATCGATCAGAAATATGGCTACGCATCGATAACAATGCTTCCGAATGTTGATTTTCAACAAGAAACTATTGGAAAACTGGTAAATGTCCAGCATTGTTTAAAAGTGCGAATTAACTAACAAATCCACCAATTACCTACATGCATATGCTGCTTCCCCAGCACAGTCGTCAGAGAGTAGTAATTAAACGAAACAAGTCGAAGTGGCATTCGCCTCCGATCCTCGGGCGCTTGCGAATAGGGAGGATGGAATTGCGTAATATTTTGCACACTCATCGCCATACACGCTAACTTGAAAGTACTCATTAATGAGTAAAAAAAGACCCATTTTGAAGAAAAGTGGCTTAACTCATTAATGATTAAACAATTTTACCCATTAATGAGTATCTGTTACCCATTAATGATTAACAATTACTCATTAATGGGTAACAGATACTCATTAATGGGTAAAAAATTTACTCATTTAATGAGTTAAGCCACTTTTCTTCAAAATGGGTCTTTTTCAACCATTAATGGGTACTTTCAAGTTAGCGTGTACTCAGAACCACACGCTCCCACTGACCACACCACTGTGTGGTGGTGTTCGGTCGTCGAAATTAGTAGCAGTAGTAGCAGCAGTAGCAGTGCTTTCGGCGTGTGGCGTTGAAAATTGTTCTCCAGTAACAACGAAAGGCTGCCTGCAAGCAGCGAGCTGTAGAGCCCACATAAGCAACCATCAAAGGAGGCAGAAGCTGCACCGCTACGCTATGGATCGGAATCAGTAGCACTTCATGAGTCGCTGGGGGTCGGTCATCTATGCCAACCGTGTCACCCTCGCTCCAAACGACATACAGCTCGACAGCCTCATCCGCGTTGAACACCCAGCTCAGAATTACTCAACCATCACTACAAAACGGTCCTTTTCAGGGCCACCAAAAATTTGTTAAAGAGTATTATTTGGACATTGGTCAATGTCATCAGTTCCCGCAAGCAGCTAGCTATCAAGGCTCAACCTGTCTATAGAAGGTGTGAATTGTAGGCCTGAATATATTGGTGCAATAAGTTTTTCCTCGGCTTTCATTCCGCACGATTCGTTTCTTTCGTTTAATCAATCACCCTTGTAGTGACGTCGAAAAGATTGTTTCATTCGGCGCTTACATATGAAATTCCATGTGGATTATAGATTTTTTTTTTCATTTTACCAAAATTTATGAATGGTTTGCCACTAAATGTTGAGATAATTTATTGATTATTGAATTATCACACTGTATA